CTCCTCCACCCCGTCCAATGACCCGATCACAAAATAATATTTTCTGCCCAAAGAAACCATTCAATTACCTTGTTAAACTTCCCGACAGTGTTACGCCTCATACCTTTAAGCAAGCTCAAAAGCACCCTGAGTGGAGGTCAGCTATGAAAGCTGAATTTGATGCTTTAGTTCGGAATCAAACGTGGGAATTGGTTCCTCAAGATTCTAACAAGAATGTTGTTGATTGTAAGTGGATTTACAGGATCAAAAGGAAGGCTGACGGTTCGGTTGACAGGTACAAAGCTCGCTTGGTTGCCACGGGGTTTACTCAGCGTCTCGGGCTTGACTATCACTGCACATTCAGTCCGGTTGTCAAGCCCACAACTCTTCGTATTGTTCTTTCCCTTGCAGTTCAGCACAATTGGGTCTTACATCAGCTGGACGTCAATAATGCCTTTTACAAGGCACTCTTGAGGAAGAGGCCTTTATGAAACAACCACATGGATTTGAAAATGCAGCCCATCCATCACATGTTTGTCGTTTGCGTAAGGCCATTTATGGTCTCAAGCAAGCGCCTCGCGCTTGGTACAATGAACTGACAGCATATCTCTTTTACATGGGATTTATTAAGTCTCACTCGGATCCGTCTCTCTTTGTTTGCCATGACTCTAATGGTGTTGTGTATCTTTTGGTCTATGTAGACGACATCATTCTTACAGGAAGCAACTCTTCAGTAGTTCACCAGGTTATCTCTTCATTGGCTTCCCGTTTTTCCCTTAAAGATTGGGTCCTTTATCCTACTTTCTTGGGGTTGAGGTTCATCGAGATGCCAAAGGCCTTTTTCTGTCACAAGCGAAGTATGTTTCAGACCTTCTCCATGATCTTCTGATGGAAAATTGCAAAGGTGTCTCCACACCCATGAGTTCATCTCAAAGTTTGCTGCTAAATGATGGTACTCCATCTCATGATGCTACTGAATACAGGAAAGTGATTGGCAAGCTACATACTTGTCTTTTACTAGGCCTGATGTTTCTTACTCAGTGAACAAATTGTCTCAATTTATGCATGCGCCCTCTGAAGCTCACTAGAAGGCTGTTAAGCGCCTCATTCGATATCTCAAAAACACTGCTAACTATGGCCTTCGAATTGCTCCAAGCACCAATCTTAATCTCTCTGTGTTTTCTGATGCTGACTGGGCAGGCAACCTCACTAATTGAAGTTCCACCACAGGTTATATTATTTTTCTTGGCTTTACTCCAGTTAGTTGGTCATCAAAAAAACAACGCACCATTGCCTGCTCGTCTACTGAAGCAGAGTACTGGGCTGTTGCTAGTGCCGTTGATGAGATCACTTGGGTAAAAAATCTTCTCAAGGAACTTATGTCCATATCCCCACAGCACCTACAATTTTCTATGACAACCTTGGTGTGACCTACTTATGTCAGAACAACATCTTCACAGCCGCATAAAGCATCAGTCCTATATAGCTGTTGACTTCCACTATGTTCGCCAACAGGTTAATGATAAGCGCCTTATCTTCACGCACATTCCTAGTTCTGACCAGTTGGCTGATAGGGAATGAAAAGGTGTGATCCACAGGGATACTAAATTTCATATTCTTTTGTCATACTCATGAGTTATGTTTAGTTCTACAAAAACTTGACAATGAAAATATGCTTGTACAGAATAATGGTGTTGCAAGGAATTCATGTTTGTTATATGAACTATAGCAGAAAAGAGTCTGAGAGTGGAGACCATCTGACACTAGAAAGAGTGCTCCAATTAGCAAATGAAAATCCATCTGCATTTTGACAAAGGCAAGACAGAAGCTAGGAAAGACACAACCAGCAGTAAGTATTAGGCTCTGTGCATATCCGTTAAGCTATTGGTATTGGCTAGATCAGGACTCAAAGTGACAATATTAGACCTTGAAAGCATCACGAGGGCCCAAAAGACTCAATAAGCCTCAAAGTAGTTTTACTATTCTAGTTTATCTATGCACCTTATATGGAAGAAACAACACCAGAGGGAGACCCTACTCACAAAGAACAATGAATTCATCAAAAAAGAAAATGCAGTATGCATTTGCAGGCGATTGACAGCGATAAAGCCTAAAATCATTATAGTAATTGCTCCACCAACACAAGAAGCAGTGAGCAAGAGTGAGAAGTAATAAAAATGAACTAAACGTGGGGAAGCAACTTTATGTTTTATAGGGATCCTAGGGAAGGAGATTTATATATATTGACCTGGCATGCTTTATTTTTGGCTCTGGTTTCTGCCGTGCTGGGAATGTCATGATTTGGTTTTTGAAATTTCTTCTCCCGCCGCTCACAAGAACCCCATCCATCTGAGAACCTTGAACCTCTAGGAGGAACAAAACAATGAAGGGGCAAAATGGAACAAAATGAGAAGAGAATCTAGTAAAGCTGACATGTTTGAATAGGAATAGTGCTGAACCAAAAGAACGTACTGCATGTGCGCCCGAACTATAAATTCAGCACGTAGGACATTACGATTCTCATCAAATTCGATGTTCTTCTCTTTAATTTCATATGATAGATTGAAGTAAAAGGATATCTTCCTCCAACCTGCACAAATACAATCCCATGTATGCAGTAAAAATTTAGTTGAGTAGAAGAAACCAATTACCCAAGCTTGTTAAATTACCAGCTTTTTTGATGAAGGGACTTCCAGAAATCATAGTGTAGTCACTTTTCTCCAGAATCTGTGAAATGTTTAATTGATTATTAAGCCCTGATGAAATCAAATTTATGTATTAAAAAAAAAGGAAAAAATCATAACAAAACAATAGCAGTAATTACTAATTGCTGATTATGGATGTTAACAGAAACTAACAGGCAGTGTAATTGTATTTATCTTTAAGGTGACTTTTATTTAACAAATTTGTTTTAGTAAAGGTGCAGACATTGCCCAGATTTTAGGAGATAGCCAGGTTTTGCCTAGAAATATCAAAGATTTTGTTGCACGTGATTTGCTGATTCATTTCAAGTACAAAGATGCCGATTCATTATCAATGCTTCGTAACTAATTCTCTAAAAACTATCTTATTCTCCATAGTTTAAGCTTGTTTTCCTTCAATTACCATCAAATATCTATGTTGTTTTAGAGGCTGAAGTACTTCCAATATTACCATTTAGATACAGAGGACGAGATAGATACATTTCTTCTGATGCCAAAAGGAAATAAGACGGAGATTAAAAATAGCATACACCTAAAAAAACATAAATGTACTGGGATTAACAACAGGTAATATATGCCATAAGTACTTCCAAACTATATATGCAATTTGTTACTTACGGCCATAGCGGCATTTTGATACTGCTTGAAGAGAGAAACAGTTGGGAAAGGAGCAGCCAAGCAATGCCTCAATGTAGTTTCCGGCGAACATTCCGAACCAATCGGACTGTTGTTATAGCTACGATCCAACTCCGGCGAGGAATAATTCGTCACATGAGACGGCGAGTGCTGCACACTCTGCTTTACCATAACCATAGAAGAATTCGAACTCGGAGTAGTCCTGGAGATTTTCGGCGGCCGGCAATTTGAAACCTCTCCACCACTTCTAGGGTTTTTTGGCAGCCTATTAATAGAATGTGGAGAAGGATTTGAGATAGCTGGAAGAGGTCTAATCGGAGTCTGTTTGTGAGCTACATATATATTATTGCGGTGCTTGGAAACGGTGGTGGAAGCGGCGGCGGCAGCATCTATCACCGCCCAGAATTCGGCGTTGTCTAGGTCCTTATCATCCACACCGTAATTGATCCCAGAATTCATTTTGTTTTTTTCTTTTTGGCTAAGCTAGCTTCTGTTGCGGAACCATATCGCGCCTGAGCTACAGTTCAAATTTCAAATAGCTCATACGCCGTCGTTACATTTTTCAATGCAAGATATTTATTAGAAAGAAAACTCAACTCACTTATTACATATTTTAAAACTCGTTTACTTCTTTTTCCATCTTTTTAAACTCATTTACTCATTGGCCCATTTTAATTATCAATTCCAATAAAAGAATTTAAAATGAATGTGACAGTTAGACCCTGTTTGTTCATAAAAAATAATTTTTCAAAAATGTGTTTGTCCATAAAAATTTATAAGTTTTTGGATTTTTTTCGAAAATGAGTTTTTCAAAAAACCACTTTTTCATAATTTTCATAACAACTTTTTTCGCCTCTCACAAAACTACAACATATTTTCAAGTGAAATGCGTGTCAAAATATAATTTTAAATTTCAAATATCAGTTTTCAACTTAACTTCAAATACTACATTTTTTTCAAAAATTACAATTTTATGTCCAAACGCCTACTTAGTTGGATTCACATCAAAGAATGAGCTGTTATTAGTTTATTTCTGTTATTTTTTTCTTTCATAAATTCATTTTTTTAAAATTAATAAAAGAGTTAATATCCTAAAAACCCCTTAAACTATTATATTTTTGTCAGTATTCTACTTAAACTAGCTACTCTGTATGTCCAAAACCCCTCGTGAATATTGTCCTTCATATTAAAACCCCCCCCTCGTTGTTGACCTGGCATAATGTGTGTAAATACTCGCTTGAGAGTGTGTGACAGCTGAAAAAAGCCATCAAAATGGGCCACATGATGGCTAATTAGCCTAATCCACTTTCAAACATGTTTTGTTAATAAATATTCTCCTTATTTCAATTATATCCACCTTTCTTCCTCATTTTTTTCATATTCTTCCTTAATTTTTTCACTATTCTTCTTTATTTTTCACCTCTTTCTTCATTTTTTAACCTTTTTTCCTTCAGTTCTCCATATGGGTTTCCGCTGAAAAATTTCTCCCTCTCTTATTTCCTCTGAAATGATTTATTCTCTTTCTTGTTTTAGTCTTCTTTCATGTCTTACACATATTATTGAAAGGATACTAATTTAAATCTTCTTATTAAACTCAACACCTTGTAGAAAATAAAGTTGAATATCTTAAACCTTCTTTATGTAATCTAGAATTATAAAATGTAATTTCTGGCCAAATTGATATTTCATTTGCGAAATTTTATTTTGTATAATCTTTTTTATGTAATATAAGATGATTTTTAAGAAATGCAACACTATATGAATTTATTTATATATTTACTGTGCTACAAAGTGAATATAAATAAGGACTTATTCAATTGGAGTCTAGCATAAAGCACAATTATAATTAAACCTAAAATTAACATGGTACATTAGATATTATTTTGGCCAAAACTCCTCGAATTAATTAATCACCTGAGAGTAATACATCATGAATAAACTATATAAAAAACTTTGTATAAATCATAAGATAATATATTTAAACAGACGCACCTTTAAAAGTCCAACATGGGGTTTTAATATATAGAAAAATATAGTTCATGCGGTTTTTGGGGACACCAGATAGCTTAAGTAGGTAGCTGTCAAAAATGTGATGTTTAAATGGGTTTTAGGCCAAGTTAAACAGCCACGTGTAGTGCTACATGGCATGTTTTTTTAGATAATTAGGAGCGCATACTAAACGCACCTAATATAAAGGGAAATATAGTTCAGGGAATTTTGGGAACACCGAATAGTTTAAGTAGAAAATTTACAAAATATGATAGTTTAAGGGATTTTAGGGTATTAACTCTCAATAAAATTGATAATTTGTTACTTTTGATTCTTAAAAATCAATTATTAGAATGGCGATTGCGTACTTTGCATCTATATTTTATTTTATATTTTTAATATTTCAGAGAACTAATACTGATTTTTCCGCCTAATGCACCACAATTTGATTCAAACTTATTAGCCACCACTACAACACATTTTCCATGGAGAGGAAGGTGATGGTTCTGCTTTAAGCCGTTTAAACGTGCGAGTGGATCTCACCAAGGCTAGTTTAGCTACTTTAAACCGGCACATAGAAGTTGTTAAAGGCAACATCTGCTCGCTTGAGTCTACTGCTATAGAAGAGCTGGGAGATGTCAAGGAGGCTTTAGATAACTTGACTGACGAGCACAAGGAAAGGCTAACCAATTTTTGATCTCAAGCTGACCGAGGTTGTGTTTTGTTGCATGGGGAAGTTGAGTCCATAAAGCAACAATTAAAGGCAGCAAGGCTTGCTGGTGGCACTGGCCTAGTGACGGTGCATGAGACCAAGGTTGAGGTTCCTAAACCCAAAGAGTTCAAGGGTGGAAGGAACGCTCAAGATGTTGAGAACTTTATTTGGAAAATGGAAGACTACTTTTAGCACCTCAACATTGTTGATGAGGCTGCCAGGATCCGGGCAGCAACTATTTATTTGGCTGACATCGCCATGCTATGGTGTCGGAGGAAGAAAGCGGAGATGGAGAAGGGTAGTTGCTCCATCAAAGACTGGGAGCAGTTCAAGTCCGAACTAAAGCGCCAGTTTATCCTCAAAATGCTTTCAATGAGGCTCGTCGGAAGATGAGCGAGCTCAAACAAACAACTTCCATTCATGAGTACGTGAAGTAGTTCACCAAACTCATTCTCCAAATTCCTAGCTTGACAAGTGATGACTTATTATTTTATGTCATGGACGACCATAAAACTGGGCCAAACAAGAGTTGCAGTGGTGTCAAGTCAAAGACATCGATGAGGCTATTGTTGTGGCTGAATCCTTGAATGGTTTTAGGACAGGAGTCACAAAGGCAAAGGACACCAAGATCAAGCCCACTATACCTAGTGGAGATCGTGGATATCGTGACAAAGGCAAGCAAGTTGCTGCCACAGGTCGTGATTTCAAAAGAGAAGACAACTGATCTTTTTATTGGCGTGATAGGTATAATGAAATAAAGAAGGCAATTAGTCCTCGCAATGGTTGTTATCTTTGCAGGGATCCTAGTCATGGTTATAAAGATTGTCCTTCTTTGGGCAAACTTGGTGCCTTGATTAGAGCTGAAAGGAGGTAAGCACAAGGTGGTGCACAAGCCGGTAAAGCTGCTCAAGAGAGGCAGGACGTGGCTCATCTTGGCTACATGATGCTTGGTGCTCTGCTGACCAAGGAACCTGTTTTGAGGCAGGCTACTTAGGAGAAGCCTGACCGTGCTCAAATGAGTCACATGTTACTTGTTACTTGGTGCTGTGATGAGCAAGGATCCTAGATTGAGGGAGAAAGTATCACTGTTCGTGGATGCAAAACTAAATGGACAGCATGTCCGTATCATGGTGGACAACGACGCGACACACAACTTCGTGATTGAAGCCAAGGCTAAGTCACTTGGCCTTGTGTTTGGTTCCAGCAGTTCTTTGTTGAGGACAGTCAATGCCAACCTTACCAATGTAAATGGAGTTGTCCATGATGTGAAGCTCAACTTAGGAGATTGGCAGGGAAATGTGAATTTCTTTGTTGCTCCCATGGACGTGTTTGATCTTGTGTTGGGTTTGGACTATTGGGATGAAGTCATGGCCTTCATTTCCCCTAGTCTTAACCAGATTTATATTTGGGATCTGAGGGGTCCTTGTGTTATTCCAACAGTTCGTGTGCCAAAAGTTGTTGGCCAACTGTCCGCGATGCAGATTGTGAAAGGCTTTAAGAGAGGAGAAGCCACATTTTTAGCAGCTATGATAGAGCTTGAGGAGTACAAGGCAATCTATGAGGGGGAGGCCTTGCCCCTATGTGTTCAACAGGTTTTGATGAGAATAAGGACGTAATGCCTGAAGACTTCCCAAACGTTTGCCACTATGCAGGGAATTAGACCATCACATTGAGATGATTCTAGGAGCAAAGCCACCTGTCGTGGGTCCGTATCGCATTGCACCTCCGGAGCTAGAGGAATTGAGGAAGTAACTCAAGGAGTTGCTTGAATCAGGACATGTCCAACCGTCGAAGTCACCATTTGGAGCTCCAGTTTTGTTCCAAAAGAAGCAAGATAAGACTTTGCAGTTGTGCATAGACTATCGTGCTCTCAACAAGGTCATGGTAAAGAACAAATATCCTATCCCTTTGATTGCAGATTTATTTGATCATCTTGGATAGGCCAAGGTATTTAGCAATATGGAAGGCATTGGCTATGCACACAAAAATATGGGAATCAGGTCGAATTCTCGTTTTATAGCCCTAAAACGCCAAAAAAATGAGGAACGGTTATGGCAGGGTGGTGAACATTATTCCTAAGGTTTTTTTGATGAACTCGAAAACCTTTAGGCCGTCCAGGTCTGATGGCACGGGGCGTCGCGGAAAGCGTGGGCTATATCATACGAAAATAAGGGAATCGGGCCGAATTCTCATTTTATGGCCCTAAAATGCCAAAAAATGAAGAACGGTGATGGAAAAAAGGTGACCAATGTTCCTTAGGTCATTTTTGATGGTCCGAAAATTTCTTAGGCGGTCTAAGTCCGGGGGCCCAAGCACACACGGAAGGCGTGGACTATATAGCACATGAAAATATAAGAATCAGGCCGAATTCTTATTTTATGGCCCTAAATCCCAAAAAAATAAGGAATGTTCATGGCGAGGCAGTGACCAACATTTCTTATGTCATTTTTGATGTTCCGAAAAAATTTTAGGTTGTCAAGCCCGGGCCTACACGGAAGGTGTGAGCTATAGCGCACGAAAATATGGAAATCGGGCTGATTTCTCATTTTATGGCCCTAAAACGCATAAAAATGAGAAACGATCATGGCAGGTCGGTAATCAACATTTCTTAGATCATTTTTAGGGTACGGAAATATTTTAGGAGGTTCGGGTCCAGGAGCCTGGGCCCACGCAATAGGCGTGGGCTATAGCACATGAAAATATGGGAATCGGCTGAATTCTCATTTTATGGCCCTAAAACGCCAAAAAAGGAGGTACATACACGGCGGGGCAGTGACCAACGTTCCCTAGGTCATTTTTGATGGTCCGGAAAATTTTTAGGCGGTCAGGGTCG